GCAGGCAGTGGCAGGGCCCGTCCGTACGGTGTACGGAGTACGGATAGCGTGGACGGATACCTGATGGGATTATCGACAGGAAAGGGAAAAGACCGTCCGTACCTAAACTGTGGTCTGTAGGCACCGAAATAATTCAATCCTTCTTCCCGCCGTCTCGGGTCTCTGCTTGGCTTAGGTTGGATCTTTGGTCGCACCTGGTCCCCTACCATACCTTAGCACCCCTCGGCCTCCATCCACTCGCTGGCGCCCATATTCTACGTGCCTACGGAGTACATTCTTGGACTCCTTGATGACCACGACGGGGCCCACGAGTGTTGGATGCAATCTTCTTCCCTCTTTTTACTTTCTTGCCTCGCACTTGCTTGCTTGCTTCCCTTCACTTCATCAACAAGGCTGGCCATCTCACGAATAGTCAAACCAACAAGCCAAAAGAGTGTTGGAACCATCTATTGTTATCACGACACTCACAAACTGACTTACGCAAGCATCTCTAGCCGCGTAATCGCTCACTTCAGCTCCTCTGCGCTGCGGACTGCTGTATACGTACCCCCGTCCACGTCCAGCGACCACTCACAGTCGCAATTCACCCGCCAACTGAGCCCCGCCGCCCGCACAACCTGGCCCATCCGCTTCCGATATTCACAGCGCCGACCCCGAGCCCCGACTTCTCATCATCACCTCCGGTCCTTCCTTAGAGCCGCCTTGCCAATACAGTCCCCGATTATGTTACTGTGAAGAGCTCCTCATAGACCTATTATCTAATTCTCACGAGCTGCGCTCACTTGCTCTGGCTTCGACTCCCTCACATCTCACCCCCGCCTCGCTGGTGAGGGGCTTACCTCTTTGTCTTTAGCCTGCGCAGTGTTTCAATCGCCAACATGGAAGGCATTCGTTCCACTGGCGGCTACATGCAGCGGCGCCTGAGTCGTCTGTATAATGACACAAAGAAGTCTTCAGACTTTGTTCAGGAACCAGTCAAGGCCCCCGAGGACCCTGAAATCAAGTCACTGTTCAGAAAGCTCCGCATCCAAAAGGACCGCGTATCAACGTGGGGTATCGAGTGGACAGATCCTAACCAGTCAGATGAAATTGATAGCTCACTATCAAAAGCCGGTCTGAGTGAGGTTGTTCACAGCATTCTCTCGACTGTTCGGGAGACGCTATCAGAGTTGGATGCGCTATGGAAGAGCTACACCAACCCGCTAGGCACCGTCTCAGAAAAGTCGGCAGATCGCAAGACCGCCTTTGTAACTTGGGACAAGGCAGTATTCGCGGATGCCATTGGAGACCTCACTCAGTCTGTCGACACACTTTACGACCTTTCTAGAACACGCTCCTCCGCGCAGATGTCGTCGCGTTCCAAGCTTGAAAAGTCCATGGCTTCCACTGAGGAGCTGCGGCCTTTTGAGTCCACCAGGATGCAGACGCCTCAAGAAATCGACCCGACAACGTTAACAAACATTCGGTCCATGCAGGCGGAGCCCATGACCGAGTCGAGGGTCAACCTTCCTCCACGCGATATTGTCTTCATGAGCAAGCAGGCTTGGTCAGATCTATCGCAACATATTGGCCGCCAACCCTTTGCGCCGCTCTTGTTGGAATTTGCAACATTCGACTCCATGTACGCCATCACGGGTATCATGCCCCCCATGTCGCGCTTTGAGAAGCTGTCAGCCGGCTTGCAGCAGGACTCACAGAGGGCCCCAGGTACTTGGATCGGCCTGCCGAGACTGCTGGGTTATTTCGAGGATTTGGAGCACGCCCGCCTTGGACTCGTCTATCACTTCCCGCCCAACTTCAACGCCGTCTCTTTTGAAAACTTTACGCAAAATCCTCTCTACAATGTTTGCACGCTCGCCGATTTGTTGTCGCGGCCAGACTTTGAGCCGACCTTGGAGGCCAAGTATCGCTTGGCTTCCAACCTCGTCAACACCGTATTCGACTTGCATGCCCGGGGTATTACCCACGGCTGCATAATCGACAAGAACGTATCTTTCTGCAACATGTCCACGCCCGACTTGACCACGGGTCCCGGCGAGGTGGACATTCGCCGGCCTCTCATCTCATCCTTCGATCTGTTTCCAGATGCTCCATCAGATGATGAACCAGTCTCGCCATCGCTGCCCCTTTTCCGACACCCCCTGGACCCTCGCACCACCCCGGCATCGCCCATCAACGACAAGATGGACTCTCGTATCCTCGATCTGTACTCTCTCGCCATGGTTCTGTTGTCTATTGGTCTTTGGACGAAACTCGATAACCTCGTGCCCGATCCTAATCAGCCAATTCCTGAGTCAGTGTTGAACCAGCTAGGAATTCGTTGCTCTACCCTTTACAAGAGGGCTGTAGAGACCTGCTGGACGGCGGTCGATATGTCGCTTCAAGGGAATACCTCTGACGAGGACCTTCTCTCGGCTGTGCAGGTCAGCGTGACGCGCTACCTCGACTCGTGCGCCATCCTAGACAACATTAGTTCTCTCGAAGACCGCCTCAACCTCGACCTTGGAAAGAAGACTTCCGTGTCCCCTATCGGCACGCCCACTCGTCAGAGCATCTCAGGGCCCTCAAAGGAGGTCAAGGTGGTGGCGACCCGACCGATCGTCGACACTCGTGGCTCCTCGGTTGATACCAAGACGCCCATTTCGGAACCCAGCTCCGCGCGCCGTTCATATCCCTCTGCTGCAGAGGAGAAGCGGCAGCTTGCCAGACAAGAGGGTCAAAGTAAGTACTACATCGCAGATTGCATCTTTCGGCCACTAACAACACCACAGCCGGCCCAGTGGAGCTCCCTGCGGAGGTAAGGCCTGCCAAGGCACCGTCTCCCAAGACCCGTCTCTACCCGCAAATTCCCTTGCCTCCCGATGCTGTGGAGAAGTGGAACACACTTGTGATGCCTCAAGTCAACCAAGCACTGCGCCACTTTTACCGCAAAAACCGCGAGGAGTCGGTCGAAGTTTCGCTCGAGTCCATCGGCAGTTCGCCAACAAGAACACAACCGACGGTTTTGGTTGTGTGTACGTCTGTCAGCAAAGTCAAGGCCATTCTGACGCGCAAGTTGGGCGAGCTTTTCGAGGGCAAGTCTGGGTTCGGGTTGAAGGTTTGCAAGGGACAGGTTCTGAGGTCACGAAAGCAAGCCGGCGACCCCAAACGAAGCGCAGCACAAGAAGAAGACGATGATGACGGCGCAGTCAAGGCAGCCAACCCTGATTTTCAAGCGCGCCCAAGCAATGGCGCAAGTATCGGAGCTTGGGTGGGGGACCGCCACCTGCCGCCCGTTAGCTTGGGCGGCCTTGTCCTAGTCGACGACAAGCCGTATGGGATGACGGTCCACCACATGCTCGACGATCCTGAGGAGATCTACAAGCACACGAAAGCTCAGGATCCGACTATGCGTAGTATGGCGAGAGATGCTGAAGACGTTCGTTTCGACTGGTACGCAGAGTCGTCGGCAGAAAGCAGCGGTGGTGAAGACTATGCCTGCGAGTTTTCGGAATCAGAGGAGTCCGAAGCGTATTCGGAGACGGATGTTACTAGCGATGCGTCAGATGAGGAGGACAGTGGTGACGAGTCGGAAGGCGAATATGACCAGCCCGGCGATATTCCTGGTGTTGAGCCGGGCTGTGGCGACGGATACATCATCACGCAGCCCGCCATGGACGACGTCGACGAGGAGTTTTATGCTTCAGCCGAGACAGCAAATGAAGATCATTTGGACAGCTTTACCGTTGGCGAGGTTTATGCATCGAGCGGCATCAAAAGGAGGGAGCAGAACGGACTCATCCACGAAATCGACTGGGCCCTTTTCGAATTCGCCGAGGAGAGACTGCCCGAGGACAACTCGATACCCAGAATCCAGAGCAAGCAGCTGTCGCCTTCATACGGGAAATTCCCATCAAAGCAAGGCAAAGTTATGCACCCGATGACCGTTGCACCCACAACAGCGCTGCCTGGCCTGGAGGTGCAGTGCATGGCGCGTACCAGCGGCCTGCAAACGGGTCTCATCCTGCCGGCTCTAACGAGCGTCAAGATCTTTGGGCGGACGACACCCAGCCACACGTACCAGGTCAGCAGTGCCGCCACCGAGACACCTGCCGAATTGACTGGCGGCGGCAAAAAGCAACCCATGGGTATTCCCGGAGACAGCGGCGCTTGGGTTGTAGAGCGCGCCCACGGGCGGGTTTGCGGGCATGTCTTGGCGTGGAGTGGGCGGAAGCGCGTTGCTTATATTTGTCCGATGGATGTCTTGCTTCTGGATATTGCGGAGGCTCTTGAGGCACGCGAGGTCGGTTTACCCGGCGGCGAGCCAGTTGTGAGTCTGAAAGGACGTGACGAGGAGGATGAGGAAGAAGATGGGGGCACTTATAGAGACGACGAGCCTTCATCGTCGCCTTTTCTAGACCCCAAAGATGACGATGATTTGGATGTTGTTTCTGAAGAGGGGGACGATGACGAGCTGCCTGTTCTTGTCCGCTCACGCGCTCCTCCGCGAGGACGCGGTACGAAGAAGGAAGAAGGCCAACAACGTCAGGACCAAGACCAGAAGCAGGAGGAACCGGGCCATGAGCAGGAGAAGAAAAAGCAGGACGGCACGTCGCAGGAGCGGGAAAAGTTTTCATCGGGCGAGAATCATGATTTATCACGCAGGATGGAGTCTATGGGCATTGGTAGGAGTCGCATGGGCGTCGGCATGTGTAGCTGACTGGCTGAGGGCCTCGGGGTGCGTCCCGCGCCCTGTATTCGGAATACCCCATTTGGATTTTTTTGAGTAAGTTAGATTATGTAGCATTAATGAAGCATGAAGCGAAGTCATTACAACATTGGTCTTTTTGTCTCTTTGTGTTTTGGCATTAATGTGAGCAGGCAGGACGATTAGTCTGGTCTAAGCAGTGGAATCATATTGAGAATAGGAGAGGCAGACAATGAGGCTGAATAGCATTAACAATGGAAGAAAAGCTTCCCGCTGTGAGAGGAAAATGCAAGACGGACAGATAGAGAGAAGACTACATGAAGTCGTCTTCCCAGTTCTCGTCGCGGTTCTGGTTGCTCGTGGCCTCCATGTTCTCTTCCGTAAAGATGTCATCATATGCGTGATCCTTTTGCCACTTCTTCTCCTTGCGCTCCTGCATAACGCGGGCCTCTTCTCGTTTCTAAAATCCGTTAGCATCCATCCCTCGAGACTTATATCTTTGTGCAAGAGAGTAAGATGGAGAACTCACCCTCTCAAGAGTAGAAGCCTGGTCCCTCTTCCTCAACTCCTTCAACCGATCATCCCTCTCCTGCTGCAGATCAGGCTTCTTCTCGACCTTGGTCTTGTTGAGCCTGTTCACGATGGGGTTTTCGCGCTGCGCGACGAGCACCTTTTTTACTTTACGCGGGTCCTTGAAGGAGACTTGGCCGACGGCCATGCTGCCGTCCTTTTTTAGGTTGGACCAGGGGGTGTAGATGATTGTGATGTTATCCTTTTTGTTGCCCTCGATGGAGTTTGCCTTTGTGAGCTGGGCGAGATCGGTGAGGAGGGGTTCGGGGATGGCGTCCCATGTCATGGGCGTTGTCGTGGAGGGATCCTTTGGGTCTGGGAGGCGGAGGTAGATGTGGGCTGAGGAGAGTTTGTCTACGTGGAACTTTTCGGTGTGTCAGTGAGGGATGTTGAGTGAGGTGAGTGATAAGAGTTGTGAGATGAGACTTTGCGTACCCTGTGAGAGGTTAGTGAGTGATGAGTTTGAGGGTGGGTGAGTGGGCTTACCAGACGTCTTCCTCCCAGCCGTACTTGATCAACTCCTCATCTATTTCCCTCCGTCAGTACTCCTCCATTTCTTTCATTTCCATTTCTCAAAAAGGTGCAGGCTGAAGCGACCCCCGTCTCATCTTCACACAACCGGGAGCAAACGCACTCTCAAACTTGTCCTTGCCGACGTAAATGAAAGCGGCCGGGTCGACCGCCTTGGAGGTGAAGTAGTAGACCATTGCGCCGAAACTCCCTTCCAGTCGGTTGACTCCCGTGAGGTCTTCAGTCGATGGTATTGAGGAAGTGAGGTTTGGGCGGTGACTAACCCTCTCGACCTCGTTTGCGCGATGAGATAGTTGGCGGGGTTGTGATTTACGACGCTGGAAAGGAGAGAATTTCGAGGTGGGGGTGGGTCCGGTTTGAGGTACTTACTTTCTAGCAGACAAGCACCTTTTTATGCGCGGTCCATTGGCCAGAAGGCGCGACGTTTGTTAGTGTCGCGGTCAGTGGAGGAAACAACGACCATGTGAACTCAACTCGGGCAGTCAGTCAAAGGGACAATCCGCCAGAACTGCTACTGCTGCTGCTGCTGCTGCTGCTGCCTGTTCGTCAACTCCCCTAAAACTACTTTGAAATACAGTTGTTTCCTATTTCAACAACCAAAACAATTCCGTCTTCAGAGTTCCTGCTGCTATTTGTTCCCAGCTTTGCGTCTATTCAGGTCCTTTCGCCCACCGTTGGAGTGTGGTGCAGCGATCTGCGCTCATGCACCCGCGCCGTCAGCAAATCCTTTGTCGCGCCACGCCGTGCCACCAAGTCAAGCAAGTTTAAACTCTAGCCAAAGTTTCTTTCCGTGGCACCTCTCAGCCTCGTTTTATCGTTCTGCAGTGATTATCTGCTATTTTCTCATCCACCGTCAACTTCGAAGTTGCCTTTCCACACCACAACAACGATCACATCCACGTCCCCGACCTCGCTACATATTCCTTACCAGCAGATCCGAGTAGCAAGCCTTGTTGGCTAAGTGGTATAGCGTCTCACTAGTACCTAGTGACATGAGAAGATCGGCGGTTCGATTCCGCCACGAGGCAGTGACACAGGAGCACCACGGGTGTGAAATCTTTTGCATTTTGTTTGTGGTCCATGAGGATCTGAGTTTGGTGGACGTGATGCTTGTCTGTCAATTGAATTTGTTTTGTTCTATTAGGAAAGACGGAAGGATACCAAGTTGCCTGCCATATCAACTCATATTAGCCACGCGCGACGGTTTGTTCGCCCGCCTTTGCCAATGCATTCATCTCTTCGGTCTTGTTCACCATTGCCTCTTCATTCATGCGATCCAGTCCGGGCAGCGTTGCTTCCCCATCTCGTTTACCACGGCGCTCCCGTGTGGAGCTCACATTGTGGTCTCGTAAATGCTAACGCATACAGTCTGAGCGTTCGGAATGGAGGCGGACGGTTTGCTTTTGATACCGAGGATTGGCTGTTCTGCTAGAGAAGAGTTACTCTGATACAAGGTTTCTAGAAAGGCAGTATGTGTATTGATGAGATTGCCGGGTGCAGCTTGATTTTCGGGACGCTAGGATGTCCCCGTATCAGTGGGCCAGCTATGCATCCGGTTGCCTGCTGTTCATCCGTGGTCTCAGTCCGGATCCGATTATTTCGGAATCATGACGGGTCACGGTTGTAAGGGCGAGAGTTAGAGATGGCAAATCTAAGTATGGTAAGGCTGAGTTAAACAGGAATAATAGTTTCACCGTAAAATAAGGTGCAACAGTCTTACTACGAAGTTCATTCGGCGGGAAACCATTGACCAGTCAGAATCTCTTTCTATCTACACGGCGAGAAAGGTGCCTAGTCATGCCAGAGAAGCGCGAAAATGGGTGACGGCGATGAGCGTGTAACGTTTGAACTTGCTCTACGAAAAGCGGAGTCTTTCGCTTCGCCCGTACTTCATACACGCACCAGAAAGTCCGTCATGCTAGTGGGTGACTCGAGCCTATTGTGAAGAGGACGATGTCGATAAAGTAAGTCTCTCAGTCAATTCACCGGGCTGCTCTGTGTATGCCACATCACTCCTCCCCTAGCTGGAAGCTTCAACCCAGCAATTGATGTTTGTGGAAACCAAGAACTCTCATCAAAAATCATGACTGGGCGATGATCTCACTTGTACCACAAAACGGTCGAATGAAGAGCATCTTTTTACCAATATCACAGATGAGTCCATCCGCATCACCCAATCATCTTGAAGGAACCTGATGCAGCAGTGGCTCGGTGAGAGAGAAGCTTGGGCCATCGAGGGGCATTGGAGGGGCACGGCGGTACGTATCTTGGACAGGTTGGCGTGATCCCGCTTATTAGCCGACTACGCGTCATGTCATTGGCTGGGGGGCTGGAGCTTCTGCTCCTTTCTCCACCCTCCGGACCACAGCTCCGGAGTACACGGCAGGCAAGCGGGCAGGTAGCCAGGGGCTCGCGGCTTCTTTGGGACACGGCAATGTCGACTCTGACATCAACATGGCGAAATATCTACACTTTCTCCTACCTCTTCGCGGCACACCTGGCAGACGATCTACTGTAGTGCTGGTAGGCCAGCCTGACTCTGGAGAATGTCCCGCCAATGGGACAAGCAGTTGGACGCCTGAATGGTACGCAATTTGAAGGGGCAGTAGTCGTTCGCGACTGACTGGTAGCACAAGATTGACGTCAGAAAGGCCCGAGTAGATGGGAATCCATCAGAAAACAGACCTGGACGAACGGGAACCTCCATTGGTGAGGCTTGCTTTATATAGGGCGGGTTTCGTTCTGGGGTTTGCTCGCCCTCCTAAATTCTGATCTCTTTGCCGCCTCTCTCTCAACGGATACACATGCCGTCTTTCTTCTCTCCTTGAACCATGTCCAGCATCGTACCCGATACCCTCAAGAAAGCTGGCAACGTAATCATGGGCCAAGGAAACAAGAAGAACGCTCAGCTCGCTGAGAACATGGTCGAGGTCAACCCCAAGGCTCCCATGACCACCGACTTTGGCACAAAGATTGAGAACACGGATGACTGGCTGAGGGTCTCCAACAATGATAAGACCGGACCCATGCTCTTGGAGGATGCTATTGCGAGAGAAAAGGTTCGTTTTGACCTCCTGCTTGTAACCGCAATCTGTCATTAACACCCGCACAGATCCACCGCTTCGACCACGAGAGGATTCCCGAGCGAGTAGTCCACGCCAGAGGAGCTGGTGCTTTTGGAACCTTTAGACTATTTGAAAGCGCCGCAGACGTGTCAAATGCCGGCGTCTTGACCGATACATCCCGCGAGACCCCCGTCTTCATCCGCTTCTCCACTGTCCTCGGTAGCAGAGGCAGTGCCGACACTGTCCGCGATGTCCGCGGCTTTGCTGTGAAGTTCTACACCGAGGAGGGTAACTGGGACATGGTTGGAAACAACATTCCAGTCTTCTTCATCCAGGACGCTATGAAATTCCCCGACGTCATCCACGCCGGCAAGCCCGAGCCTCAACTCGAGTTCCCCCAGGCTCAGTCTGCCCACGACAACTTCTGGGATTTCCAGTACCTTCACACCGAGGCCACACACATGTTTTGCTGGGCCATGTCTGACCGTACCATTCCTCGCTCATACAGAATGATGCAAGGCTTTGGTGTCAACACTTACACGCTCACCAACGACAATGGCGAACGGCACTTTGTCAAGTTCCACTTCACCCCCGAGCTTGGCGTCCACTCACTCGTATGGGATGAGGCACTAAAGCTGGCCGGTCAAGATCCCGATTTCCACCGCAAGGATCTCGCCGAGGCCATCGAGAATGGCGCTTTCCCTAAGTGGAAGTTCGGTATCCAGGTTCTACCCGAGTCCAAAGAGCACGACTTTGACTTTGACATTCTCGACGCCACGAAGGTCTGGCCCGAGGAGCAGATCCCCATTCGCTACATCGGCGAGCTGGAGCTGAACAGGAATCCCGACGAGTACTTTACCCAGACCGAGCAGGTTGCGTTCTGCACCAGCCATGTTGTCCCCGGCATCGGATTCTCAGACGACCCTCTCCTCCAGGGCCGCAACTTTTCTTACTTTGATACCCAAATCACCCGCCTCGGCATCAACTGGCAGGAACTGCCCATCAATAAGCCGGTATGTCCAGTCATGAACTTAAACCGTGACGGCGCACACCGTCAAACCATTACAAAGGGCAACGTCAACTATTGGCCTAACCGTCATGAGGCCGTTCCTCCGGCAAACCACTCCAAGGTTTCCGGCGCCTACGTTGACTTTGCCCAAAAGGTGGAGGGCATGAAGCAGCGCAGCAAGAGCGCCAAGTTCAAGGACCACTTTAGCCAAGCCCAGCTCTTCTTCAACAGTCTGTCGCCAATCGAAAAGACGCACGCCGTCAACGCATTCGCGTTTGAGCTAGACCACTGCGAGGACCCCATTGTGTACGAACGCATGGCCCAGCGTCTTGCTGACATCGACCTGGGTTTGGCTCAGGCTGTTGCCGAGATGGTCGGCGCGACATCGCCTGAGAAGGCGAGCACACCCAACCACGGCAAGAAGGCCAAGGGTCTCAGCCAGCTGGAATTTGAGCCCGAGACACCCACCATCAAGTCGCGCCGCATCGCAATAATCATCGCCGACGGCTTCGATCCTGTCGCGTTTGGTGCCATCAAGGGTGCTGCCGCGGCAGCTCAGGCTACGCCGATGATCATTGGCACCCGTCGCTCCGAGATCTTCCCTGCCGGCACATCCAAGACGGCTGGAAACGGTGTCGTTCCTCATCACCACCTTGAAGGCTTCCGATCGACCATGGTCGATGCCATCTTCGTGCCCGGTGGTGCAGATTCCATCAAGACTCTTTCCAAGAACGGCAGGGCTGTCCACTGGGTTCGCGAGGCCTTTGGTCACTTAAAGGCCATCGCTGCCACTGGCGAGGCCGTTGACTTCATCCAGACTGCCATCTCGCTTCCCGAGGTTTCCTTGTCTAGTGACAGTAATGTTGCAGAAAGCTACGGCGTTGTCACGATGAAGTCGGTCCAACCTGAGAGCCTGAGGGAGACTGTCAAAATCGTCAAGAATAGCAAGGGGTTCTTGGAGCAATTCTTTTACACCATTGCTCAACACCGCGTGTGGGCGCGTGAGCTCGATGGGCTCAGCACTCAGCTGGCGTACTGATCCGATAACTGACGATACGAACGGGAAATGGCGCTATATATAATGATTGTCATATAATGAACA